AGCTTAAGAAAGGCTTCACGTCGGGCCGAACCACGCCCATTAGCTGTGATATAATGAGCATATACCACGGCCTGTCGTGAGCTATTGCTTAATTATATTGCTTAAATGCTTTGTGGAACGTTTGTAACTAAATGGCCACTGTAGAGATGTCTCCAAAAGTGGGTTAGGGCAAGGTTTCATGCCAATTTGTGCGAAGGAAAGGTCAGACAATGTTTAGACCTAGATTATGGAATCTAGGTCTAAACATTGTCTGACCTTTCCTTCTTTAAATGCACAATTTGTATCCATTGTTTCTCTTTGTTGATGCAGATAGACATGATGTTAGAGCAGGCCCTTTTTTTGCTTAAGCACCAGCAGTTTTGAGGATGATTTGGCCTCTTTTGCACTCTGTTGTTTGTCTTGATGACTCATGCTGATGTTCTAAAAGCCACATCACTATTAAACATTTTAACATTGTAGGAACTATCTTACTTTCTAAAACTTGGATTGAATGTCTCTGTAATTGGGTTAAGGAATCATGGCGTGTTTGATGGACATCAGTGTGACAGATGCACAGTACTGACTGAGGGCATATTGCTGAGGTCAATACTAAGCATGTTATCTTTGTTCATTTAAACGATAGCGTTTGATTTTTGACCTTGTGTTAAGGGTGGCAGTTAAGGGTGGATTAAGCAGCCTCCAGACAGACAGGTAAATAAGATGCCAAGACAGCTAAAAACCAAGAGCTGTTATTTTGTATCTAAGCTGTAGTCTGTAGATAGATCCCAGTCACCTGGCTGTGGTGTTAAGCCTGAGGGTGCAACGTAAGACACAAGAGGTTTACCTCCATGCTGCGACGCGGTAGTGAATAATCATTCACTTTGTGATGCATGAGAAAGATTGATATTGATGGATCGTCCAATATGACATCATCTAAGAAAGCACACTTCCCTTTGTTGGTTTAGTCACTGCAGTGTCTGTTAAAAACATTAAAATATGAGTTAAATGTTGTCCGTGCATGTCCAAAAGAGTGAATAATCCAAGCTCGTGTCATAAACTTGCTCCGGTCTGATTCAGCCGTCTATGGAGCAATGTGCCACGGACTGAAGCATAAAAACATACAGGAGTTTGAAGCATCTACATGTTCAAACTGGATTGCATAACACAGAGCAGGACTGCCGCCAGCACATTTCCTTCTTATGCCTTAGGCTACCCCCCCTGTGGTTTTTCTCACCAGCCACCTGATAAAGCGGTGTGTTTCTCATCCCATTGGCAACATAAAAATGACATTCCGTGCCCGGTCAGCAGGTTGAGCCACAGGGTGTGAAGATTACAGTTCGAAGGTGCTAATGTAAGGTTACTTTACAGCAATTGAGTTTGCAAAAGTTAACCAGTACATAACAGGACTGCAAAGGAATGAATAAAAGGTGAGGCCTGAGAATGCAACCAACATGCAAACACATGCACACATATATTGCAAAATGTAACCCCCACCCCTCCATATCTTTGGCCTGTCAGTCTAAGCACTTTGGGGCCTCCAGAAAAACAGATTTCCTTTCTGAACCAAGTGAGACTAGCCAGGTTCTTACTCCAGAGTCCAGACAATACAGAAGAGCCACGGATACTACCGTGCCAAGATGCATTGAAAAATAAAAGGCACATTGATGTGGCCCAGAACCTTCCGGTGCGTCCTCAGAAGTATTCTTATATAATGGCTGAGAAGTGGCAGGTGTTTGTGTTTCTGAAATCTCTTTGTGTGGCAAAAGGTGTGTATCAGGCAGCTTGCTGAAAATAGCCTGCGTTGACAGGTAGTCAATTTTGACTTTAATCCTAATTCTTTGAAATTGTACTTGCATCTCTCAAAGCCTGGGTTACACAGCTCATGGTTTTACGGAAATTGATTTAGGCCAAAGCATAAACAAATTGGAGGGGGAATTGTAGTTGTAACCACTGAAGCTTAGTGGGTGCAAAAGATTAAACAAAACAGAGTCTATGAAATCAATCAGACTGGTCATTACAAAATCACCTCATGGTTCTATGTCTGCAATACACACGATAAAGAATAGGTCTTCTCTTGGATCTATTAGTGATCACAAATTATGATTTTGCGGCCTTAAAGAGTTTTTCTATAAGTTATTGTCCTTCCTACTTTATTGTATGCTTGTGAAATTATCCCTCTGCCTCAGTTATTTTCAGTCTGACAGGAGTAAGCCTCCAACATACAAATTAATAATTAAGCATACATTTATCCCACTGGATAAGCCAACAAGTTGACCAATATAAAGCCTCGCTATGTAATACATTGACCCTCCTTTCATTCTTACATGTTGAGGTTTGGAACTTATATTATCCTAAAACAGACAACACTTCTTATAGATGAATGAATGTCCTATTTTGTTGTTAAAAATAAAAATCCTCAGGGGGTGAAGGCAGGGAAACTTCACAGATTGCAGCTATAACTCTTTTAGTGTTGTTATACCAGCCACTTTGGGACACTTCAGACTATAACAGGATGTATTATATTAAAA